CGCGCTGTGTGTCCATTGTCTTGACATTCTTCATCTTTTATCTTTGAGTTTGTGTTGTGTAAGTGCAGCCTGATGGAACGGGGAGAGGGGTGAGGCCCAGTTCACGGCCTGATCCCCTCCTAGTCCCTCCCCTGGTGGGCTTTCAGGTACCTGCACCCCCACCCGGCTGCCTCCGCACCCCTCTACCCTGGGTGGGTACCTGGCTACAGGTAGAGAGGGTCAGGGTCAGGTACACTGTTGTAGTGAATCACAGGGTGAGGCCCCAGGGACCTCTGAGGGTCTGCACTCATCGGGCAAGTCTGCCCCTGCCCCAGGGAGCATGGCATCAAATAGCAAGTAGAAAGCTTTGTAGCAAGAGAGGAAAGGAAGGCTTTTCCCTGCTTTTGACTAAGTGCTACTCCCTCCCCTCACATTTTCATTTTGCGCTGGGTCCCACAAATCACATAGCTGACCTCGCCTTCCATTCACATACCCCTCTGCCCACCCTAGGAGTCCTGGTGGCGTAGTGGTTATGCTTTGGTTGGGCTACTCACCACAAGGGGAGCAGTTCAAAACCACCAGCCATCTCTGAAGGGGGAAGATGAGGCTTTTTATGCCCGTGAAAAGTTACAGTCTCGGAAACTCACAGGGGAAGTCTGCCCTATCTTATAGGGTTGCTGAGTTGGCATCGACTCTGTGGCAGTGAATTTGGTTTGGGCTTTCTGCCCACCTACCCTGGGGAACCTTGGGGACAACCCCAGGGCTCCGCAGAACATGGGTTAGAGGCTGGGCCATGAAGACACCACTGGGTGTGAGACCTTCACGGCCAAGACCCTTCTCACACCTGCAGTCCCACCCTCCTCTCCACCCGTCACCCTGGAGGTGCAGGCTTTGAACCCGTATGGTTGCTCCTTTATTGCCAGGCCCTGTTTCAAGTGCAGAGGATGTGACCACCCACCTTCCATGTCTTCGGCCCTTGAGGAGCTCTGGGGACACTGAGGAATGACACAGAGGGACAGTTCCAGCCCAGCATGCTGTCACACTAACAGCAACAGGGCAGGTGTGAATGGCGGGGCTGTCCAGGGAAAGGATGTAAGGGGCGCCCTACAGGCCAGGAGCTGGAAGCTATCAGCTGACACTGGGAGACAAGCTGAACCCCAGCACTGCAGCATCTGGGGGCTCTCCCACGCAGCCCTTCGTTTTTCCCTCCCACATCCAAGCCTGGCGCAAGGACCCTGCTGGTGCATGCTCCTTCGCCCACTCCCCAACAACGTGCAGATGCGCCTGAGGCAGACAGTCCAGTGAGCGGTGCTAAGCAAAGCACGGAGTTGACCAGACAGGGTTGAAGGGTCTTTCCGAAATGACTCCTCGCAGAGTGAGCAGACGGGCAGGGTTGTTACGAGCTGAGATCGGAGCTGAGATCGCAGAGTTGGGCTGAGCCGGGTGGCAGTGGAGCCATTCACAAACTGCCCTGCCCTGTGCCTCAGTTTCCCATCTTTAACCTGAGGCTCCGGGCTGCCCCTTCCTCATGATTACACATTGATGTGAGGATTCTGAGAACTGAGGTCTGAAGGGTCTGGCATGGGGCAAGTGCTCAGTACATGCCAGTGCTTGCCATTGTCACGAAGCTGCCACCCGTCACGTTAGAAACCCCGGGCGTTGCATGACGCTTCGCGGGCTCCCGAGCACCCACTCCCTCCTTTCTAGCATCTGCCACGACTCTGCTCGTAGCCTCCTCTCTCCCCCCATTGTCATATCGCATCAGTCCATAAATATTTAAACAACATGTCATCAAATTATTATAACATATGATCTATAGCACTGATGTGCTGCAGTTCTGCGCATTTGGGCTTCGTTTTCAGAATATTGAGACATAAAATATTTATGTATTTAGCCAACCACGAGATCTCACATTCTGTCTCAAAATGCTGGGTGGTGGCAAGATGCTGAACTGAGATGCGACGTGTGAAGGGGATGCCTTGTTCTCACGTCGGTTCCTGGGGCATCTGGATTGTTCCCGGTTCATTCCGGGACGTCATCTTGCGGCCTGTGAGTAGGGTGGGGGTGGGGGTGGGCAGCCTGGGTTTATCACAGAAAGCACAGGGCTGGGGCCATGGGGGACCCCATCAAAATGAGATGAGGGCTCAGCTCACAGGGTGTGAGAGGGAGGCTGCCGTATGTCTGCTTCTACATCCCCACAGGCCTGCACATAGTAGGTGCTCAAGCAACACCTGCTGAGAAGGGGTAACTTCATCAGGACCCTGGGGCACCACCAGTGGGCACACATTGGGGGCGCAGGACTATCTGTTCTTCTGTTTCTTTCCCTCCCCAGTGCCCAGCTCTGGGTCAGGTCCTTCCGAGAAATGCAGCAAGCAGCGCTGGATGAACAGCCGCTGGAGGACTAAATGCATGATCGGATAAATCACTTCATTAGCTAATACATTAACGAGGTAATGACTCCCCATCTTCTGGTTAGGATTACACTGTGTACAACCCTCCTCCTGAGAAATAAAGGCTCCCCTGTAACCCTTAGTGGGTAGGAAAAGGAGTTTTTCTGGGTAATTAAATATCTCAATTGCGAACATTAGCACATCACGGGGACCATATGCCCTGGAATTTTCAGCACTGCGCAATTTCCAAGGTGCCCCCTACCACTCAGATGACCCAGGCACCTCTCACACACCAGTGACCACACAGGGCCTTCGATCGGCCTTGGTGCCCTCAATGGCACGGCACTGCAAGTGTGTTTCCAGACCACTGCCCTTTAGGGAGCTTGGGGCCCACGGCCACCACATGCCGACCTCAATCGGTGTCAGTACACCCAGGAGGGCACAAAGCACGCCCACGCACAAGTTAGCTTGGGGTGAAGTAGTAGTTCCTTTGCATGCGTTCCCAGGAGGATGAGGCGGGGACCTTGTCTGCATCCCGTGTGTTTTTCCTGATGGCCAGCAAGGGCCTGGGCCCTGAGTGGCACTTGGCTGCCACTTGCAGAAATGGCCCTTTGAAACCTAGACACAAGCCTTATTTCATCTCAGTGACCCAAGAGCCTCAGCCACGGGCCAACAAAGCACACACAGTGCCCATCACTCTTGGAGCAAACTGTAGAAGGTTGCCCAAATGCCGTTCTGTCACCTGGAGGACCCCACCCTTGCCCCCAGCCTCCACGTAGACAAAAACCCAGTCTGCTAGTGGAGAAGGTCGGCATTTAAAACAAACACGAAAGGCACTGGCATTCCTCGGGGAGATGAACAAAGGGAATTCACGCAAACGCACAGAGGCAGCCGTGCCAAGCCCACATATGAGAGCCTGCTGTAACTGAATCCAGCCGGGGCTCACCAGACCAGCTGAACCCAGGGTGTGGGCTCTCTCTCCCTGCTCCCTCTCTGTCTGCCATGTGGTGCCTAGTGAGCCCGCCATCTGGGCACCCACTCTGGTGGCCTGCCAAGGCCATGTCAGCTGGGAAATCGTTTCCTCTTTCAGCTCTGGGATGCCTCGTTTTCTGCCTGGGGCAGAATCTGAAGTCCAGCTCATTCACTCAACAGCAATGTCTTAGGTGGCTCGGAGGTGGGGGGACTTAGTGCAAAGTCCAAATCCACCCCCAAAGGTTGCACCTTTTTAAAGATATGTGCCTGATACCAAAACGCAGCTTTAATGCATGGCCCCAAGCAGCCAATGATTCCAAGGCCCAAGCCCATCCTACACAGACATGCCGCACCCCCACCCACCTCCGGTAGAAAGGGTGAGGGTGAGACCCTGGGGTGGATCAGCCCTTTGGGCTGTGGCTAACAAGTGTTCCTTCTGCTAGAAATGATTCCAGGATGAGCCATGCCTCTAGAAAACCCCTCTCCACGCAGGAAATCAGCTGGGCACAGCTCTGGCCTTTGCTGCAGCCAGCACTGTTGCTCACTAACATCTGTTAACTCTGTACAAACGCGCCTCGAGGAGCCCGCCCGGGCCCACCTGAAGGTTCCCATGCTTCCAACACGTTAGGTGAGTACCTACGGTGCGTTGGGCGCTGAGGATAGAGTCGTGGTCCACAGAATATTCTAGTCCGGCAGGTGGATGACAGACACAGGATGTCAGGGAGGCTAAGGGCCACAAAGGAAAACACAGTCAGGGAATGGACAGCGAGGGGCAAGAGGCGAATTTGACTGGGTGGGGATGGTGTGGCCCCTCTGGGAAAGTGACATTCACAGTGCCGATCTGGGGTGGGGGTGCTGGTTCTAGGAAGACAAAGTTTTGCTCAACAAAGATGGAGCAGAGGGAGCAAGGAGGAAGCTGCCTAGAAGGGAGGTTGGTGAAGTAATTGCCATGCTGGTCTTACGGCAGAAACTAATCCACGTTCCCCAGCTCCGGTGTTCTCTGCAGCTGGACGTCTTGGCGCTCCTTCACTTAGGTACTGAACAGAGTCTGCCCCGAGAGTAGTAACTAGAGCAGTGGTTCTCAACCTTCCTCATGTCGCAACCCTTTAAGACAGTTCCTCATGTGGTAGTGAACACCCAGCCATAAAAGTATTTTCGTTGCTACTTCGTCACTGTCATTCTGTTACTGTTATGAATCGGGAGACCCCTGTGAAAGGGTCGTTCGACCCCCAAAGGGGTCATGGCCCGCAGGTGGAGAACCGCTGCCTTGGCGTGTGCTAGGCTGGCTGTCCCCCCTGCGGCAGCACAAAGCCTCCATGTGTGCTCTTCCAGGGCAGCCTCAGGCCCGTCTCCCGGCCCCCAGCACTCATGTTCATGGCAACTTGTTGTTAGGTGCCACCGGGTAGATGTCATCTCATAGTGACCCCGTGTGACAAAACAGAACTATGGGGCCCTGGTGAATGAAGCTGTGGAGTCAGCCTCAGATTGACTACGAACTACCAGGTCTGCAGTTCAAACCCACTAGCTTCTCCGAGGGACAAAAGGTAAGGCCATCTGCCCGCAGGAAGAGCTACAGACTGGAATACTCGATATACGGTCGCTGTGTGTCAGGATCAATGTGACGGCAGTGGCTTTGGTTTTTCTATTAATTCCTTACAGAAATGGGCTGTCGGTTCTTTTTCCTGGGGGCGGGGGCGGGGGCGGGGGCGGGAGGGGGTGGAGTTCAAACCACCAACCTGTTTGCTAGCAGCTGAGTGCTCCACTGGTGCACCAACAGGCCTCCCTGCAGGTCACAAAGTACCTTGAACCCTGGACTTATGCTGTGCCTGTGTTTCACCCACAAAATGGGCACCATAGTACTTATGTTCCCGGAGCCCAGGACATGTGCACCCACCTTCCCACCAAGCCACTCTCCCTGTGGCCTACCTGTCTGTCACTCCACCCCCCTCAGGCCTCCAGCCTACAAACATCCTCTCCTTTCTCCCAAGGTTAGCTCGGACACCCCTCATTCCTGGAGGCACTCTTATTTTCCTCCAGGAGCATGTCCTGCCCATTCAAGGTTGCCATACCCAACTGCCCTCCCCCAAACCCCCAGTGGCAAAAGGCTGGGGACTGGGGCTGTTATAAGTATCTCTGTTCCAGCTCACAGCACAATGCCTGTCCCAGCATGGTGACCCTATTTCTTGAATGAATGAATGTGCCCCACAGCCCCCTACCAAGCAGCACACGCTTCGCTGGTTAGCAGAACACAGAACCAGCTCAGTGCCTGGGACAGTGGGTGCTCTGTGTCTCTACATAACTAGCAGGCTGACCTTCAATCTACACTGCCACTGTCTCCTTCCCCTCTACTTTGGGGGTCATGGCGCCCAGAGATGGCCCCAGACACCCCCATCTGGCTTGGTTCACTGGCTACCGTCTCTGACTGGGCCACAGTGTCCCACCTCAGCATCTTTCACCCTTTCAGCGTCAGCCTCTGATCCTTTTGTCCCATATGTCACATCACAAGACCTTGCATCCCTCATTCTTAGGGGATTTCCAGGGACGGCTAGGATGCCAGGCCCCCTCCACCCGCTTCCAAGTTCTAATAAGGGAGGGTTCACTTTCTAAAGCACATCGCCTTCAAATGGTGCCTGAGATTCCCGGGCCACCAGACTGGGATGAAGGCCCCTTTCCAGATAAGGAAGTGGAAGCTTCATTCAGGGGGTGCCTTGCTTCAGGGGACTCAGCTAGGGGGTTGAGGACTGAAAATTAGACCCCATGGAGGTACTTCCCCACCCACATCTCATGGTGGGAGCTCAGCTCTGACGATCTCCCGCCCCCCCCCATCCCCACCCAAGACCTAATCCCAGTGGAATCCCAGCAGAAGTCACCTCAGGAGGGTGGCCATTTCCAAAGAACAAGGTTCTCTTTCTCTTAGCTCAGGGGAAACAAGGCAGTCTGAGGGAACCCTGAGTAGCTTAGGAGGGGGTGAACAACACCCCAGAGCTTCCTCGGGCCTCCTGGGCAGGCCCTGCCTGGGGGTCTCCTTAAGAGGATCTCTTCTCACTAACTTCTGACCCAGAGCTGCCGACCCCTCTGCCCGTGCGTGTGACAGCCGTTCCTGTCAGCCCGGACCTCTGTGGGCCAACGCTGTGTAAATAATTAACAAAACATCTGCCTTGCTTAATAAAACACCACGACTGACACTGCTCAGGGGGCCTCCTAAGACTCTCCAAGAGGCCGCCCCCGAACGTCTAAGACTCACTTTCCCCACCTCGTGGGGGGTGGGGGCGTGGGGAAGAAAGCAAAACATTAATTTCCAAACCTTTCCCTCAGTCGTCACGGGGTCATCCTGACCTTCAAATCCTCTTTCCTCAATGCCACAGTATCCTCCTCCCCCTTGAGTTTGGTCATGGCCTTTGAAAGGCACATCCTTGGCACCTGGAGTGGGGGGCCCAGCCAGCCAGCCAGCCCTGTGTGGGGGCTCAGAGCAGGGACATGGAAAGTCTTGCGGACCAAGAGTCAACTCTTCTGGCTCCATGACCCTGGGGAGTCCTTCGGCTGTCCCTGTCTAAGAGCTCTCAGAGGGCGTCCTGGTGGGGCAGTGGTTAAGGTGCCTGGCCGCTAATCAGAAGGGTGGTGCTTCAAGCGCACCACTGGGAGAAAAGACTCGGACAGTCCGGGAAACAGCCCCGACATGATCTTGAGTGCTGCGATGAAGCCCCAGACTGACACGGTGGCTGCCACAATGGGCTCCAATGTAAAGGCGACTGTGACATGGCCCGGGACTGGGCAGTGGTCTGTCCTGCTGTGCAGAGGGTTGGCACGAGTAGGAACCGATGAGCCTCAAACAACAACAGTCCCGGTATGTGGAGTGACTTTTCATGTGAGTGACGTCATTTTCTTGCCCCAAACCTAACCAGGTCATAGCAATGATCCTGTTTCTCAGATGAGGGACCCGAGGCCCAGGAGGGGCTGTGGCTTGCTCACAAGTGGAATGTCTCGGACTGTGGTTGTGAGTGAGCGGTGGTGAATGACGCTTCGTCCTTCCAAATCCAAAGTCCGCAATAAACCGACATCTTCTCATGATGCCCTCCTCTGGATGGAGAGCTGGACACTGGTTGACCAGAGTTAGAGGTCATTTGTAAAGGAGTCCCGTGTCTTTGCCCATGTCCTCCCATCAATTCCCAGTTTCAAAGGTGTTGTGGACAACAAGGGCCAAGAGAGGGCAGGCGTTGGAGAAAGGGTCGGTGGGGAAACCCCAGCTCTGCAGGAAGAGCACACCTAAGGCGCTAAACTCAGCAGCCTGGACTAGGAGTGAGGACAGCGGGACTGTCTCTCACATGGAGCTCTGTGGCCCAGGTCAAAACCAATAACCAAACCCACTGCCATCGAATCCATGGGGCAGGCTCTATAGGGCAGAGTAGAGCTGCCCCTGTGGGTTTCTGAGGCTGTACAGCTTTACAGGAGTAGGAAGCCTCATCTTTCCCCCGAGGAGCAGCTAGTGGTTTTGAACTGCTGACCTTGAGGTTAGCAGCCCAACCCATAAGCCACTACGCCACCAGGGTGCCTCCCCCCCAGATTCAAGCACTGCCTGAATTTGAAATGTGAGGGTTAAACCATTTGAAGAAAATGCAGACGTTGCAGGCTCCCCGTGGCAGCTTCCCTCCCCGCTTCCCCTTGTCGGAATTCTTTCTCCCTCTATGGAATTCCAACATAAAGCCCCCTTTTTCTCTCCTATGAGGTCACCGTCAAGCAGATGTCGACTAGAAGAAAGGACGGCTCCAGGAGGATCGAGGTCATTGGAACTGAATGCCTTTCAGTTCCCGGCAGTTGCCACCTTTCAACTCTCACCACTTCCCCTCACCAGCCCCTCCGATGGAGCTCCCAGGGGGTGCTAGAATCCTGCCGGTGGGTGCCAAGAAAGCTTGGCTAGAAGTCCAGTGCCTTTGCAGCCAGACCACCTGAGAAGTCTCCTGTGGAAAAACCCACGGCAGCCCGGGGCCCACCTGAGGCCTGTGTATGTGGGTCTGTTTCCACACAAGCAAGTCCTATTAGAGGGACAGATATCGAAAAGCTAGATCGCACTCACTCCAAGTTCAAGTTCCCAGATTTGACGACACAGGAAATTACACCACTGACTGATTTGCCCCAAGGCCGGCTCCTGTCTGGACTACGAGACTGAGAAGGCTGTTGCTGTAATTCAGGTTTGGCCAAAGGGCTGGACTGTGTGTACGTCACCAGACTTGGGCAGAAAGGAGTGAAGTTACTAGCCCGATTGTTTTCTTTATAAACTAAAAATTTCCCCTAAAGCTACCTTGCCACTGGCTAAGAGTCAGAAACAAGGAGATGGCCAAATGTCAAGGAGCCACTGAGCCCCTCACCCCAAACCAGGCACCCACTGCCTGCTCATTTCAAAACAACCTCATAGACACTTGGGGGTGCCCAGACCACCCCAGATGACCCCGACATCCCAGGGGCCCATGACCCCCTGGAACCCTTTGTTCCCATCACAGCCTGAGGTGATCACGCCTAAGGAAAGTTCGATGTGGCTTGTGCACACTGCTTCCTAAGAGTGACGTCGGCAAAAAAAAAAAAAAAGAAGAAGAAAGAAAAAAAGATTAAAATGTGGAAACAAGGACTATTTTTACCTCCCCAAATCACAGACCAGACGGGAGAGAAATCCATCAATGCCAGAAATGTGGCTGAGCCTCCGCAAAAGATCTATTATTTCACACCTTAAA